CAATGGCTCACCTTCTCCTTCGCCTTACTTCCTGGCGACGCAGCAAGGTGGCCCAGATTAATACTGCGTTCGGCTGAAGACAATGTTGCTGTTTGGCGTCCGTTGTCGTCACTTCTAGTTCCAAGAGGTAGTGCCCTTATGCGTCCGTGTTCCTCCTGTGATGGTGCCCTTGCGGGTTTGGTTTCTCCCCGCTCGGAGTGGGGGCGCGGGCGGAAGAAGCAGAAGAAAGAAAGTTGCCTCCCCTCCTCCTACTCCTCCTCTTCCACCCCCTCCTCCGCCTCATCCTCCTCCTCATCATCACCATCATCAGCATCAGCATCGGCATCGGCATCAGCGTCGCCATCATCATCAGCATCATCATAATCAGAATCATCATCATCATCATCAGCAGCAGCAGCAGCAGCATCAGCATCAGCATCAGCATCAGCATCATCATCATCATCAGCATCATCATCTTCATCTTCATCTTCATCATCATCTTCATCTTCATCTTCATCTTCATCATCATCATCATCATCATCATCATCATCATCATCATCATCATCATCATCATCATCATCATCATCATCCCTCCTCCTCCTCCTCCTCCTCCTTTTCCTCCTCCTCCTCTGCCTCCTCCTCCTTCCCCCCCCCCTCCCCCCCGAAAGCTGGTCGGGGCGGACAGGCGGGCAGCTGCAGATGGCACCCGAGCGCGAAGCAGCTGGGGGTGGACAAGTCGCGCCCCCCCGCAGCATCTGCACTCGATCGCTCGATCGCGCTCTGGAAGCAGGGCGCAGAAGCGCAGCGTCGTAGAGCCCACCTCGTGGGGGATAGGGGGGCAGGCGCGCAGGAGACCCCGGAGCTGGCGGGTGGCGATGGGGCGGGGCAGGGAAGAGGGGGGAGGGCGAGGAGGGGGCGGGAGAGGGAGGAGAGGACGGAGGGGGGAGAGGAAGGGGGAGAGGGAGGAGGGGGGAGAGGAGGAGGAGGGGGGAGAGGAGGAGAGGAAGGAGGGGGGGAGAGGAGATGGAAGGAGGGGGAGAGGAGGGGGAGAGGAGAGGAAGGAGGGGGAGAGGAGGAGAGGGAAGGAGGGGGGAGGGGGAGAGGCGAGGGGAGAGGAAGGGAGACGGGAAGGGGGAGGGGAGCTCGTGCTTTCGCTCGCCGGAGCCGAGGTTCGAGATTCGGCGGTTCGGCCCGTCTCTGTATCGTCATCTGTCCTGCCGTCTTGTCCCCCCCACGCTTCAGATGCCGTCGAGCTCCTGCCTCCCTCCGCGAGCCCTCCCGTCCCCCCCCCACGGAGGAGGAGGAGGAGGAGGAGGAGGAGGAGGAGCAGGAGCAGGAGCAGGAGCAGGAGCAGGAGCAGGAGCAGGAGCAGGAGCAGGAGGAGGAGGAAGTTCGAGGGTTGACCCCCAAAAAAGCCCGTCCCGCCGCCCGCCCTGCTGCTCCCTGCCGTTTCCTTCCTCCCACCCTCGGCCCGCTCCCATCCCCAGTTGTCTCCCCACCTCCCCTGATCCGCCCCTCCCCTCCCCTGACCCAGACCCCCCTTGGGCAATGAAAAACTCACGACGGGTGGTTTTCCGTATTTTCGGCCTTTGGGAGCCTTCACCAGGCTTTGGGACCTTCAGAAAAAACAGATCAGGGTGCAAAACGGCCTTGGGGGAGAGGTCCAGACCTTTGCGGGTCGACGTCATGAAAAAATCATGACGTCGAGGGTCTGGGTACCTCCCCTCTCTGCCCCTCTATGCCTTCTCTCACCCCCTCTCCCTGCCCTTCCTTCGGTCCAGGTCCGTCGCAGCCCATGTCGTTGTCAGTCTTCTTCTCGTCCCACTCCCCCCTCCACCCCCTCTCCCTGTGCCTCCCCCCCCGCACCTCCACCCCCTTGCCTCCTTGCTGTTCTCCCCTCCCGCTTCACCCCCTTCTCCTCTCCCCCCTCCGCATCCCCGCTTCCCCTTATCGTCCGCCCCCCCCCTGATCCTATCCTACCAGCTAATAACCGTCCACATCCCCTCCAACTACTGCCCACCCCTCCACCTCTCTACCCAGCCCTCCACCCGAACACCCAATTCCCCGCCTCTCACGCCTCTCCCCTACCCGCCTACGCCCTCCCCGCCCACCTCCCCCCCCTGCATTACCCCCTCCACACGTCGTCCCCCTCCTTCCTCCCTACTCCCCCCCCCCCTCCTCCGCCCGGGGCGTGGGCGCCCCCCCCCCCCCCCCCCACCGCGCCAACAGGCCCTCTCCGCCACGCCGCCGGCCACCGTGCCGCCCGCGCCGCCGCCCGAGGCCCCCGCGGCGCCCCCGGAGAAGGCCGGCGAGGACCGCCGGCTTGCCAGGCTCGCCGCCGCGGACCAAGGCCCTGGGGCGGGGCTCGCAGGGGCGGCGTTGAGCCTCCCCTCGCTCCTGCTGCTGCTGCTGCTGCTCCGCCTCCTCCTCCGCCTCCTCCTCCGCCTCCTCCGCCTCCTCC